TCTTTTCTCTATCTTGCTTGATCTTTTCTCTCTCTTCTTTTCTTTTCTCTCTCTTCTTCATCCTTCCTCAGCTTATCACTTGTACAGTCACACCCCAGACTTGGTCATTGTCAGTAACTGCAGTGCCTCCATAACCTCAGTTTAAAGTATCCTGAACTCTGTCCTCGACCTTGAACCTCTCCAGCTCACTGCTTCTGGTACTTCCACTCCAACAATCCTTTGACCTTATTGATTCTTAAAATCCATGAATTCCACCACCCTGTCGCTGTCTCTCACTCCCCTGGTGACCTTTCTTCCCTTTATACCCAGTTTAAATTCCATGTCATCATTTGCTTGGTAAAATCCATCTCTGTTTAAATCCTAAAACCTGAGCTGAATGTTGCTGGAGTGAAACATGACATCTTGCCAACCGATCTCATTTTAAGTTCGAGGCTAGTGGTCTGCACTGCCCACTCACGCTGCCTGCTGTGATGCTGCCTGTCCCTGGTCCATGTGCTCTTCCGTTTTCCCGGGTGACTATTTCATCCTTTCCTTTCTCTCCTCGGCGCTGCCTCCCCCATCCTCACTTTTAGCTAATAATCTAGCTTCATATTTTACTAAGAAGATAGATGCAACTAGGAGAGAATTTGACAAGCTCTCATCACCACCTCTGTCCGTGTCCAGCGTCAGTGCCCGTGCACGTTCCTCCTGCACTCTGCAGGAATGCCAGGGTTCCTGTTGAACTTTCCGTACTAGACCCTGTCCTTGTCTGTCACCTTCTCAAAGACATGGTTCCAGTTGTTCTTCCCTCTCCATTTCAGTAAGTTTTTTCAAAATCATCGTTTTCCCGTTCTCCCTTAATCATTCCTATCAGCCTGCAAATATACTGTTATTTCTTCCATCTTGAAAAATCCCTTTATTGATCCTATATTCCTCTTTAACTAGTTGTTGCTCCTTTTCTCTTCTTTCCTTTACAGCAACGATTATTTCTTCAAATAATTGTTATTATTCATTGTCTCCAATTTCTCTTCGCCCATTCCCTCTGGAATTAGGCTTCTGTTTTCTCCTTCCTCCTCCTTTGCAGACACTCTTATGTGAAGGTCGGCAGTTATAACATTCCCAGCCCTCATCTCACTTTCAATTGGTGGCATACGGCAAAGTTGGTCACCCTCTCCTCTTAGAAACGCTTTCTTCACTTGGCTTCTAGGCCAGCACGTTCTCCTCATTTTCCTCCAAACTCGGGCTTTTTTTCTTCTGAACTTTGCTGATCGTTTTTCTTGTCTTTTTAACATTGGCTCTCTTCTCTCTCTGTGTACCCATTTAAATTTACTTGGTGATCTCATCCAGCCCCATGTTTTTTAATGCCATATTTATACTGAAGACTTGTAACTCATATATCCTGTTAGTAGTAGTTAATAGCTTTACCTTAAGGTCTGAAGGCATCTCAAACTTAACATTTCCATAACTGAACTCCTGATATCTCATCCCAATGTGCTTCTTCATAGGTTTCCCTTTCATAGTTAATGGCAACTCTCCTGCAGGATGCTTGGGCCAAAAGCCTTTGAATCATCCTTTTCGTGTCTCTGACTCATACTGCATATCCATTTCATCAGCAGATCCTTTTGACTCTGTCTTTACACTATACTGAGAGTCTTATACCTTTTCTGCTATTATGTGTCATCATCTCTTACTGGGATTATTGCAGTATCCTGTAATCAGTCTTGCTGTGTCCATCCGTGCCTATTTCCAGGCTATTCACCAAATACCAGCCAGAGGGATCTTGCTGAAATGCAATTCAGAGAATGGCATGACTTTGCTCGATGGCTTCCTGTGTCGCTCACCTACCTAGTGACTCACTTGTTCTCACAGTAAAAGGCTGCTTACAGTGACCTGCAAGGCCCTGTCTGATCTGTGCCACCTCCCCATCCCATCCTCTTACCTCTTCAACTTCATCTCCTACCACTATTTCTCGTACTCCAGACCAGGCACTCTGGACTTCTTGCCTTTCCTCTGATGTGGTAAATGTGCTCTTACCTCAGGACCTTTGCACTTGTTGATCCCTCTGCCTAGAACATTTATTCCCTTGGATATATGCACAGTACACTTTCTTACTTCTTTCAACTCTTCCCTTAAATGTCACCTCTTAGTGGGGCCTTCCCATCTTCCTATTTAAAATCATGTAGTCTCAACTCCTCCCCCTAGTCACCTACTCTCTGCTTTACTGTTCTCCATAGCACTTGTCATCATCTAACACACTATATATTTTACTTATTTATTTTGCTTTTATTGTCTGTTTTCCCTGACTAGAATGTAGGTTCCGTGAGGATAGGAGTTTTTTTCTATTTTGTTTGCTGTATCCTCGGCGTCGAGAAGAGTGTCTATACAATATTAGATACTTTATAAATGTTGGTTGGATAAATGTATGAGTTATTTTAGTCTTTTCAGTATCACGATTCTTCTGTTTTCAGTATCACGATTCTTCTGTTACAGATAAGAAATTGAGCCTTAGGGAGTTTAGTAGTTTGTGGAGATGGCACTTAAACCCAGGTCTGTCTTGGCTCGTACTGCAATCACCCTATGTGTTAATTCACCCATTGGGATCCTGTGCGTGTGGACTCGATGTCAGGTGAGGGGGTCATCAGTGTTGTGCATTCTGCCTGTGCGCTTACCCTCAGTCATTACCTGTTGGGGAGAAAATAGAAACAGATTTTAACATTATTTCATGTTGAAGCAGTTTCTGTTAGATCACAGAAACTTGTTGGAGAGAGTTGTGAAACTCCTCCTCAAACCGAGCATTTTTGGAGTAGGAGTTCTGAGAAACTCAACTTTTTTTGCCTTCTAGCAGCAAAAAAGTTTACGTTGACTGAGATAAATATCTGAATCTCGGGAACTTGAAATAGCAAGGAATGAACAAGAACACTGCTTATCTTATCTGGTGAAGGTGGCTCAGGTGTTCCAGGGATGTGGATTCCACAGGTGGCAGCTGGAATCTGTGCTCACTTTCTACCAATGAATTTTTCTGAGCTCAATGGAATCATAGATTTCCAGAAATTATGAAGTTACTGGAAGCCAAAAAGGGAACTGATGAGGGATAGAGGTCACAATTTCGGAAGATAATCACAGATTGAGATGAGTATGAATCATGCCTTAAATTTTTGCAGCTGCTTTTAGAGTGCAAACTACAGGATATGTCTAGTCGGCATTTCCCAGCACCTGCCCTATTTGTGGTTCACATTGAAAAGAAGGAGCTGAAAGTGAATTCTACGCACCAAGAAGAACTGGTATTCCTGGATTGTGGAATGAAATATGAGTCCCAGATCTGTCCCCAGACTTTTGGTCACCTGGCCAGATGGTGGCCATTGCTTGTGTCCATCCAGCTGCCTGAAATTAGAATTTTTCATGAAATGCTGATATTGGCTGAGAGGTGGTGAAATTTCAAATGAGAATTGAGTTATACGCTAATAACACTATGCCTTGTGGTTTCAATGGGAAGCCTAAGGTGTTTGTTGAGCTCCTTTGTTTTGAAGGGTCTCAAACTCCAGATTCTGTCTCCTCTTTAGTGGGTAGAGCCTGAAATCTCTGCTCAGCTGTTTGAGCTTCCAGTTGTTATCTGCTGGGCTCCTGCAGTCTTCTGCAGGCACAGGGCTCAGCTGAGGATTTGAACAGACTTTATGCACAGATCTTGGGGTGCCCTCATGTAGTACCCTTCTTTTAGGGACTTAGTCCATCAATTTCAGCCACTGGCAACCCCAGACTCCATTCTGACACCTCAAGCCAATAAGACCGAGTGTCCGTCTGAATTCTAGTTGTCCCATGTCACAGAGACTGGGAAGTCCCTGCAGGGGACAAGCCTTGTAAATGTCATGCTCATCTATTATGCTTCCTTTCTTTCAAGGGTAAAGTCCCCTTTGATTCAGGCCTGCTTTTTGGCTCTCCAATGCCTTTAAGTGGTTGTTAACCTTTTGTGCAGTTTATAGTCATTAGATGTGGGAGGGTTAGTCTAAAAAAAGCTACTCTGCCATTGTTGAAACTGTAACCTCAGTAAGTTGTGGTACATAGTTTTTTCATTATCATTCATTTCAAAATACTTTCTAATTTCCATTATTTCTTCTTTGAGCCATGGGTTACTTAGATATATATATATTTTCTCTAACGTGAGGGTTTTCTAATTATCTTTTGTTGTTGACTTCTAGTGTAATTCTACCATGGTCAGACAATAGACTCTGTATGACTTTAATCCTTGGAAATTTGTTGAGATTGGATTTCTAGCCCCTTCTATGCTCAGGTAATGTTGGTGTTCTCTGTTTACTTGAAGAGGACTTGTATTCCTAGCTGTCGGAGGCAGTGTCCTGTGAATGTCAGTGAGGTCAGGTTTGTTTATCACGTTCAAATCGTCTATAGTTTTTACCTTTTTATTTTAGTAGGCTTTTTTTATCAGTTAGTGAGATTGCTAGATTGAAGTCCCCCACTATATTAGGAATTTATCCATTTCTTCTTTTAATTGTGTTAATTCCAATTTATTTGGAGCCCATGTTGTTACATGCGTCTAAATTTACAGTAATGTCCTCTTTGTGAATTCAACCCTTTAACAGTATGAATTTTCCCTCTTTATCATGCCTTTGCCCTTAGAGTCTACTTTGTCTCTTGTTAATGTAGTGACATCAACTTTCTTTGGTTACGTTTTTCATTGCATATTTTTTCTTTCTTTTTTACTTACAACTTTTCTGTTATCATTAGTTTGAGTGTTTTCTTTTAAGTAGTTGGGTTTGGCTTTTTTAAAATTATCCCAATGTGGCAATCTGTCTTTTAATTGGAACATTAAGATTAATTATAATTAATATAACTACTGTGTTCACATTTAAAGCAGCCATCATACCAGTTATTTTCCATTTCCTTCACCTGTTTTATGCTTCCTTTTTGCTCCATCTCACCAATATTAACTCATTGCATTTTCAGCTGTATTGTGCATTGTTACTCTCACTTGTCATATTAAGATGACTTTGTTTTGTTTTCTTTTTTAGGAAAAGATAGAGTTTTTAACACTCCATTGTGTGAACAAGGAATTGTTGGATTTGGAATTGGAATTGCAGTCACTGGTGCCACCGCCATTGCAGAAATTCAGTTTGCAGATTATATTTTCCCTGCTTTTGATCAGGTGAGAAGATAGCATTTTACTATAGTTGAACATCTGAAATATTGAAGTCTTACCCCCACTCTCTCACCCCGTATCTTAGGAACTTTTGTAACCTTTGAGCTCGTGCATTACAAGTTATTTTGTTATGGGCCTATATTTAAAATTAAAGATCTAATAAAATGGTTTAAGAAAATGGATGGGAATAAAGGACTCATTGTGACATGACCCTTCTCTCTTTCCCCCCTCAGATTGTTAATGAAGCTGCCAAGTACCGCTATCGCTCTGGGGATCTTTTTAATTGTGGAAGCCTCACCATCCGGTCCCCTTGGGGCTGCGTTGGCCATGGGGCTCTCTACCATTCTCAGAGTCCGGAAGCTTTTTTTGCCCACTGCCCAGGAATCAAGGTATCCTCATCTATGTGCTTTATTTGGTCTCCATTTGATGTTTCCATCTCAGTTCATTCTATTAATCTTAACTAATATGTTTATCTAGAGGAAAGCAAGCAAGATTTTTGGAATTTATGTGAACTTAATTATTTTTAAAAAAAGAGCTTAGTATTTCTTTTAGATCAGCTATCCAGTGCCCAGGTCTATAGACCATTCTCCTTGAAGCAGCACTAGCTTGATTCTGCCATTAATTTCACAGACTTCAAAGAACGAGACTGAGAATAAAGTTGTTTTATCTTCCCTGTCTTTTCAAAGCTCTGTTTCTTTCTAATGTGTCTTTCTCACTTAACTGATTCTGGGGTAATTTTAATAAATCTTCTGGTTAGTCCATATTTACCTCAACGTCAGAGGGATCGGACTTCTGCTTTTAGTCTATTTCTTACTTTTTAAATAGACTAAGAGAAGACTTTATTACCTAGGTGTGTTTTCTAGTCCAGGGTAAGGTAACACTTGCTCAAACAATTAATTTTGAAGCATCTCTCTTTTATAGCCTTCCACAGTAATTTTAGGTCTTCCACAATAGCTTAAGTCTTTTGATTAAAAAAAATATTTTGTGTATTTTGTTTTAATTTTTTACGTTATCTTTATTTCTATTTACTGAAGAGCTTTCCCGGGATTCATTATAGAAACTCATAGATAAGTCCCCCCAGGGCTGTTTTTGATAACGTGAATTGTTTGTGAATGTGTGTCTATGTTTTATTTGTTTTTTCCACCATATCAAAGTCATAAATTTTTCTTAGCCGAGTGGGGGTTGCATAGTTTTCCGTGTAAGCTGGAAGTGGTAGGTTGGGATAGAAGCCACGTTTGCGGCAACAGTTATTTTTGTGCTTGAGCTGAACGTTGGTTCACATTTAATGTTTATGATATTACCCAGTATTTTTAAGAGCAGATCTGTTCTCTCAATCCCCTACCTTCTCTCCCCTCCTCCTTTCTCTTTCTCATTTTCTCATTATCCCAAAAGAGATAATACGTATAGTACAAAAGTCTAAAAATAAATATATGAAGAAAGCAGATGAAGAGAAACTAAAATAGGATCATAAGATAAAGACATTGTGTGTTATGGTAAGCAATGTATTTAGCAGTCTATTTACAGAAAATGAAATAGTGAAATTTGTGCTGCTATGTTAGTTTTTAAATAAAAATCCTTCAATAAAATGGTATAAAAATGGCTTTGAAAGCCAGATGTTTGCTTCAAGGAATCTTATTTGAGTCTTTGTGATAAATTCAGGTTTATTTTTATGATAACTCTTCCTATGTAACACTTGTCTTTATGCAGTGATTTAACAGTCATTAAAAACTAGACACAAGTTTGTGATTTGAGGCAAAATGGTGGAGAAGCTAAGAGCTTGGGCTCTGGCGTCAGTCAGGACTGGGTGAGAATATCTGGTCTAGGAAGTGATGTGACCGTGGGCAAGTTCTTTGATCTCTCTTTGAGCCTTAGTCTCTATTTCTAAATTGGGGAAAATAACAAGAGCTTCCTGTTGTGAACAGTAGATGAATTAATCCAGAGACTGCTTGGCCCTGAACACATGTGCTCCCTGCCCTGATTGTCAGCATCTTCCTCATCATAGCCTCATGCTCAGGAGGTCCTGGAGCCCTTTCCTCAATGCAGGTTTGCAGTAACCATGCTCTCCTTGAGCTTTGCAGTAACTGGATGTTACAGTGCCTGGATTGTCAAGTTCAGTGGGTTATTTTTCCACTTAGGAAATGAAGACCATATTTTTCATGGGAAAGTTGGAGATTTTGGTACATTAAAATTGGAGATGAGAGTGGCACGCCCTTTGAAAGTAGCAACAGATAGTGGGCATCTGATAAATATCTGTTGAACAAATGGAATTTTTTTGGGACAATATGTGAATTTTATAATAAATACTAATTTAAAAATACAATATTTGTATAGCTAATTAGTAACAATTGGTTATTTAAATATCAACCCTTATGAGTGAGTTTACTAGTTACATTTTCACTGAAATTGTGTTTAAAAAAATCTGTTTTTATAGGTGGTTGTACCCAGAAGCCCTTTCCAGGCCAAAGGACTTCTTTTGTCATGCATAGAGGATAAAAATCCTTGTATATTTTTTGAACCTAAAATACTTTACCGGGCAGCAGGTAAAGATTTCCTTTATTTTATATTTGTGAATATGTTTATACCTTTTATTTTACACAGCTCAAAAAATTATAACTTATTTTCATAAGCTTAATTTATATTTCCCTTGTAGAAAAAATTTTCTGATTTCTTCTATATTTAGTTTGTCCTCAACTGTATATTTCATGCTAACTGTAGGGAAAATCCATCTAGCCATTTTATATTTTGATTGTGGAAGCAAAGAAGCAATGGAAAGTGGTAATAAGAACATAGGGACTATGTTTAGCTACATAGTAGATGCTCATTAAGTGTAGGGTGAATGAGCTCATTGTACTAAATAATATCAAATGCCCTTTTAGCTAAAGTGTCCTTATAGGCCTTCGTCTAAATTAGGATACTTTTGATAGTGAAGGGGGCACTATTAATGCTGTGGCATCAGGTCTACACGGGGATGACTGCCTAAGGCAAACTGAGGTGTTTAGTTACCCTCCCTCTAGCTCAAAATTATAATTTTCTAACCACTCTTCTATGACTGCTTCTTTATCAGCTATAATGGAAATTTTAAACATCAAACTATTTATTCTGTCTAAAGTATATTTTATTTTGAATTTAAGAAACATTGCTTTGGAAAATCATTCTTTTCCTTGAATAGATAACCTTAAAAACGTATTTTGTTTTATTGTGATGTGATTTACATACTATAAGATGCACAGGTATTAAGTGTTCAGTTTGATAGATTTTTTGACAGTCCTAGACATTCGTGTAACTACTGTGCAAAACAAGACATAGAACATTTTTGTCATTCCAGGAAGCTCCTTCCTGCCTCTTCCTTGCCGATCGATTCTCCCCACCCCAAATTTAGCCACTTGCTTGCTATCATCACAGATTAGTTGCACATGTCTTTGGGCATCATAGAAACAAATCATACAGTATGTATTCTCTTGTGTTTGCCTTCTTTTGCTCAACCTGATGTGTTTGAGACTCATTCGTGTTGTTGCTTGTATCTGTAGTTTATTCCTTTTTCACTGCTGAGTAGCATTTCCACTGTATGAATGTATCACAATTTATCTGTTCCCCTGTTAGATAAACAAACGTCTGTCTCTGTCTGTCGTTGTTTTCAGTTTTTGCCTATTTTGTGCAAGGCTGCTAGGGATATTCAAGTACAAGTGTTTTTAAACATATTGTTTCATTTCTTTTGGGTAATAAATGTCCAGGAATGGAATTGCTGTGTCACAGGGTAGATGTAGATTTAACTTGGTAAGACTCCACTGAAGAGTTTTTCAAGTAGTTGTGCCCTTTTACACTCTGGTGGAAACTTATCAGAGTTCCCGTTGCTCTTAAGTTAAACATTTTAAATTGAATCTCTCAGTCTTTTAGGAACTCTATTGTGATCTGTAGTCCATTATGGAATAAAAATAATGTGAGAACTTAGAATCTTGAGGTGAATAGGAAAACAGTGATGGTGTATACTGAGTAGCTATTTGATTTCTAATTACTTTGGATACCCTATGGGTATTATATTTGTAAGGCCAACCAGCTGTTAAAGCTAAACAATTAATGCAGATTTCTTTTTCAGTATTTAATACACGAAGACCGAATAAGAAACGTTTGGAAAAGTAATATTCACCTTGCTGCAAATTTTGAAATTAGGATTGGCAAGGAAATGTTTAATGTTATAGGATTCCAGCGAAGAGAACGAGCTTGAGAAATTTGTTGTAGGCTTCGCCCTGGGAGAGATTATGAAAGACCCTGGTGAGGATCAGGGCTCAGAAGTTTTTCTGAAGGTTCCCCATGATTGATTATGTGCCATTTCAAAGACTCTAACACTCAATCCTTTCTTAACCCCTAATGGCTCAGTAAAGACCAAAAAAACACTAGTTCTTTCACAGCTGGAGAGCTTTTCTGCAGAAAGAAGTAAGCTAGGGGAACCACTCGGATCTTCCTATGAATGTTCTCCAGGTGGTGATCAAAGCTGATCCCTGGGCAGCAGTGTCAGCATCCTGGGAGCTTATTAGAAATGCATTCCTCAGCCTCAACTCCTGACCCCTTGAATTAGGACCTCTGGCAGTGGGGCCCAGCTGTCTGTCTTAGTAGCTCTCCAGGTGATTCTGACTCATACTAAATTGAGAACCAGTGTGTCGATTCTGAAGCAATAATGGATGTTGCCTGTCTCCATTTATCTTATATAATTCTTGGTTCTTATATAGAATTCAGGACGCTTTAAACCCATGGTTTTCTTAGACTTGGCCTCTGGTTCAAATCAGTGTCTTGCAGCTGACCATATTTTGATTTCTGCTTTTTTGGGGAGGTTAAGGTGGGGCTCTGAATGTTCTGACATTGATTCTTCACTTGCTGCCTACCTGCAGCCCACTCTTCTCGAGTTCTGTTAGTCTCTCAGATCTCCTTCATGCTGGTGGGGTCAATTCCACACTTCCAGTTGTTGGGAATGATAAAAAGAATGGAGCATTTTGATTCATTAGTCTGAGGTGCCTTGTGGAAGACGTTTCTGTATTGATAGAATCAAATAGATAAAAGAAGGTGCTTTAGATTCATTTCAAAGACCAGAGTAGCCTGATGATTTCTAAGAGATGGTAATAGGAAGACTTGTGGTATCCATAAGTACTAATTTAATTGACTTTTTTCCTATATTCATCCTTCAATTTCCAGCATACATTTGGGAATAGTTAAAACAGAGCGGATTAAAGATACAAAAGGGATGATTAGGCACATGTGTGTGCTGATGGATTGTAATTAGTCTTTGGGTGGTGAATATGATGTCATGTATGCAGAAATAGAAGTATAATGATGTGCACCTGAAATTTATATAATGTTATAAACCAATGTTACCACACACACAAAAAGATACAAACCTTTACATTAAAAGTTTTTTAAAAGAGTTCGTATTGGGAAAGTTTCATAGAGTGGTAAATATAGATGTATATTATGTTATAAATACTAGGCTGACAATTCTTTGTAAAAATGTGAGTTAATTGGGAGTTGTGTTCATTACATAATAGCTCATTTAGGTTAATTATCCAGTAATTTTAACTAAATGGGACATTCTCAAGTTTAAGTAAGGATATGAAAAGATAACTTTTGAGTAGTGTAAGGCAATGTGTATAAAATCTATGCATTTAAGCCCTTATATTTTATTTATGGAATGATATCTTAAACACATATTATGATATCACACATATATTCATGAATTAGACAGTTTCAAAAAGTTAGATATATTTGGCTAACAATAAAACCCATAATAAGACCTTAAGTAATATGGAAATTTATCTTCTCTCACATCGTCCAGGTTAGCAGTCCAGGGCTGGCGTGGTGGCTCCTCAGTCGTCAAGGTCCCAGGGCCCTCTGTCTGGTTTCTCTGCTGTCTTCAACATGTGACTTGCAGCTCCTGGTCCCAGACGGCTGCCCTGCTCCCAACCTCACATATACATTTCAGCACCAGGAAGGGGGAAGGGGGAAAGGGAAAGGAATTCTCCTTCTCTTTAAAGAATGACCTGGAAGTTGTACCTGTTAAATCTGCCCCCATCCCATTGGTCGGAACTTAATCACAGGGCCACAGCTAGCCACAAAGGAGGCTGAAAAAAGTACTCTTTAGTTTAGCACCCAACTAAAAATTTTATTAGTACATGGTGATGGGAGGTAGATGTTGATAGCTACTAATCTCTGCCATAGTTGCTTGCATGGTTTCCAAAAGAAGTTATAAATTTTAAGTAGGGAAAGAACTGTTAGACATAATATGGTTTGACTCATAGTCCACTTCAGGGAATCTATTTCAGAGATATACTGGCAAAAGTCTAAAAAAATGTTACTGTTCATTGCAGTGCCATTTATAAGAATAAGGACTGGAAACAACCCATTTGTCCATCAGCGGGGGACTTGGGGTTGGTTGAATAAACTAAGCTACATCCATCTGATGGGTCGTACTGCAGCTCTTTAAAGGAACGAGGCAGATCTCTGTATACTGTATTAGTCAGGGTTTGATACAGAGAAGCAAAACACTAGAAGATATAACAAGGAATATATTATAGACATTATACCTATAACATATGCAGTTGTAGCAGCCGCACAGTTTATAAAAGGTTGCTGCTGTATTTGGTGCTGTATCCTAGAGCCCACAGGGCAGACTGTTAGGAAGGGAGGATGGACTTGAAGTAGGGGAGAGGCAGCACAAACTAGAATCTGCTAGGCTGGACTGAAACCCAAAGGACGGTCTAGAGCGTAGGTCCGTCTCTCACCACCCCCAAACGTAAGTGTGAGGAAGAGACTGATAGGAGGCTGGGCTAGGAGGCTGTTTGAACAGCCTAAGAAATGGTGAGGGCTTGATTAGCAATGGGGATGGATTAGAAATTTCTTAGGTTGTATCAAATACTTGGTGTCGAAATGCATTTAAGGAGGGGAAAGGATAAGTGTAGAGTAAGATTTTCTTGTCTGGTAGTAACCTGAATGATGGGAATGATAGATACCCTGAAATAAATGGGGTGTGAGTGTGTTTGTGTTTTAAATGTATACTGAGCTGTCGTGAAAATAAGACTGTGGAGTCCCGAGATAAGTGAAGCTCAGAACCCTGGCATGTGAGTGATCCCCACGTCTCCTGAAGATACTGGCCAGGTCCTCGAGACATTGAGCTTTTGCTTTGATGACTCCATGGGACACTGGGGATAGGGGATAAAGTCCAGGGCCTATTCAGTAGAGAATCTACTGGGACCCCTTACTTACAGCTGAGATGTCACAGACCACACCCACAGTGGGAAGTACAGAGAGGGCAGGAAGGAAGATTTCATGTCTTGATTCTATGCTGGTGGAGAGAAAAGAGAAAGCCTCCTCAGAATTGTTATCACAAGATGGTCCTTACACAGGATTACCATTTAAATATGTGCTAGTAGTGTGGTCTTAAAACTCTTAAGCAGATAGTTTAACGTGGTTCCAGGTTAGTGGCGCCCCGAGAGAGCTGTCAGAAGGCAACAGAATCCTCTGTGGAGTCACTTTAAGCCAGGCCTCAGAATAGTCC